CGCCCTGTTTCCTCCGCCCTGTTCCCTCCGCCCTGTTCCCTCCGCCCTGTTCACTTGTCATGCGGCATAAATCAGTTTCCCACTAGGTTGTGCATAACCAGTCACCCTATCTGTCTTTTCATTTTTTAGTACACCAGCATTCCCTGGAAATAATATCCATAGAACACTTATGATCTTGCATCAACAATAACAGCCATACACAATTTTCAATATTACTGTGATGACCTTTTTTCTGCAAGTATAACAAATGTTCTCTGCACCGCTAAAATACTTTCAAAGCATCCCTTCTGTTGGTTAATATGGAATGATGAATTAAGAATCGACATCACAGCACATCACATAAGCGCTTCGTCCCCATCTTCAGCTGCAACTGAAAAGTTCCATTTCCGATGGCACCAGTAACTGTCTGATTGTATATCTGTCTCGCTTTTCCCCTGAGTGTTGAGCGACGGCCAGGTCCCCTTGTAACTCCTCGCAGTGCCATTCTCCCTAGACTGTGATGATCTATCTTTGCCTCCACACTGTTCAATCGCTCATAGAGTCCTCACAACATCCAGCGTGTCATGTATCAGTTCACCACCAAGCAGTGCAGAACCAGCCAGTCTATCTGCCTGCTCATTTCCCAACCCACCGGGGTGACCTGGAGAAAATTTCCAAAGGATGCTAACTACCTGATGCTTGCCACTCTGCACAAAGCATGCCTGTCTCTACCTTTCTCAGCATGCTCTGCGAGTCAATTACAATCACAACTACCCAGACTTTGGTTGACTTGTATTTGTATGTATGTTTGGATGATGCGATTTGCGTAGTATGTTGTATTTTGCAGTCGAAAATACGCCTTTTTAAAATGTAATGTTTATGCTGTATGCAAGGTGAGTAATTGTCACATGACCATCTCCAAATCTCCTAAACTATAGCCAGTCAAACAATGTTAATGTTGTTTCAATGTTCATGGTTGTTTTTATGTCGATGCAAGTATCCTGTTGTCTAGTGTTATCTTTGTGATTCGTTATTAATACTTCTCGTCTTTTTCAGGATGAAATTTTTAGTTATTTGAAGCCCTACTCTAGCTCTTTCCAGGGGCTGCAATATAGCCTGGCCATAAATATGGCTTAAAGGCTGAACGCGGTTTCTGGGACCTCTCCATGGTGTCATCGGGTGTTTATCGCTTGTGTGATGTCCTGGTGGGGTAGAAGTCAGTCAGTCAGTCAGTCTTTGTGATAACGGGGATGCAAATACTATAAGTAAAGTAAAAGACCTTTTTCCACGCCTTCAGGTGTATTGGGCATATAGGGCTAGACCTATGTTTTATAGACTAATCGGCGTTTGGCGGAGGATGTACAAATAATATATTTCACAATTAACTGCCTGGCATAGTTTGCTGCATCTCCTCTGGTGCACTAGGAGAGTTACATCAATATATAATAGATTATAATGCATGCAGAACAACTTTAGAACAACTGTGGGTTCATAATAATATATTTCTTTAAATCATTCTGCTATCCCCACTGTTGAGGTTGGCTTTCATATCTCCAAGGGTAGATTGTTTTAGTATCCAGAAGCCATGAGTTGTTAACCCTTAGGCTCGGTATTATGGATATCGCAACCTTTCGGCCTTGATTCCATTGTAAATACAGTAAATCTGGGTGAAAATGTGGCTTTCCTGCCTGCCCCCGGGATTGAACCCGGACCACAAGGAGTACGTCACCCGGTCTCCGCGAAATCCGGTTTAGCCAATTCCGCTAGAGAGCCGGGCTCAAGGGTAGATAGGATATGTTACAGGTGAGGTATCAACCTCTTTCATGGTGCCACTCGCATTATCTGAAAAGTTTTTAAAAAAAAATTAAAGGTCCCTTTTCCACGCCTTTATGTGTATAGGGCATATAGGGATAGACCTATATTTTTATAGACCAATCAGCACAAGATGGGTCATGTGTGTGTGTGTATATATATATATATATATAATATATATAATATTTATAAGTAAACAGACAATGTATTGATTGGCACTCATAGATCGGAGAAGAAAGAAAAAAAAAAAAACACTAGACAACATAAAAATTAAACGATTTAGTTACCGTGCAGGGAATTGAATTTGTCACCTCTAAATGGCGTGTGAGCCTCGCTATGGAAGCAAGTGTACTAATATACATTGCTAGCTAGTCGCCCCCTAAAAAATAGGCGTCTTCATTGGCCATGTCTATCGTGCAGCTTGAAGTCCAAAGCTATAGAATACGGACAAAATTCGTCTCAAACTATTGAAATGGCACTAGAAGTTACATACATTTATATGAACCAAGCATACGATCCAAAATCCGACGGTGAGCAACAACAAAAAATCGTCACGTTCAACCAGCATTCCCAAAAGGGGAGCTTTTGGTTGTAATTGTGACTAGGTTTTGTGCGCCATTTAAAATGGCCTAACATTGTTTGCCACTGAGAAGTCCAAGTCCAAGTCCTTTTGAGAAAAAAAATAAAAGCTCGACCACGTTCAGACTGCTGCTAGCTAGCCTAGGCTGCTAACAGTCTCCGCCTATATTTGTGGTCTGGGTTATTTGCGTCACTTTCGTGACTGAATACTGGTGTTTGTGCCATTTCTGGCTTAATGTTTCCATCCGAATCAAACCGCTCGTCCTGTTGTCACTGGTGCATGTCTTCCTTCTTCATTCTTGGTGTTTCCTGTTTGTTCTGTCTCCCTTTGATCTGGCTAGGCGTATCTCGAAGGAGAGCGAGCTTCCAAACACAACGACCTTTCGGCCACCATTTATTGTTTTAAAATTTTGAGTATTTTAATTTTGCCAAAAAGTACTGAAAACAGTTTTTGAATGTGAATAGTTCCGAAATGTGAAAATTTTCCGCGTGTGACCATAGTGGTCTTATAGTTGTCTTCCTGTAATATGAACGGGTTAGTCGTGTAATGGCCACTGAGAAGCACTGAAAAGGACTCTTGTAGTGTTGATGCGATCGTAGGAGACAGACCCAAATACTTTTCCAATCGACGACGAGGCGGTCTACCGGCCAGCCAATGGGCGACCCTGTCGCCGATGTTAAACAAACACATATCGAATAACAAATATAGCAACAATTTGCAAATACAGCAGACCGTAATGCTGTGTCTAGAATATAATGAACATTTAAGAAAGAGATCGGATTGGCCAGTTCTGTTGTGTTTTTCGTTATTTTAAGCCCAACCCTGGCTTTTGCAGGGTGCCCAAAATACAGCAGGGCCATTAATATGGCCGAACGGCTGAACGGAGTTTCTGGGATCCTCATTCGCATGGTGGCACTTTGTGTCACCGGGTGTTTATTGCTCTGTGGGATGTCCTGGTGAGGTACAACTTACATACATACATACAAGAATGGTCCTTTTTTAACCATCTGGACTGAGAATCGAAACATAGTAAATGAAGAGGATCGCATTATAAAACCATCTCAAGTACCCCTCTTGCAGAGTCAAGAGAGTCGCCGTGGCGTAGGTGGCTAGACTCCCGCCTGCGGATCGGTAGGTCGTAGATTCGCGCTCAAATATGACCTTGACTCCCAGGTCGACCCAGCCTTAAGTGGGTACCCGGTCGGTGCAGTCCTGGGAAGTAAAGGCGGCCGGCGTGATGCTGACCACATCACCCACCAAATGCCGATTGATTTATAAAAATATAGGTCTAGCCCTATATGCCCAATACGTCTGAAGGCGGGAAAAGCGGACCTTTATTTCAGAGTCAAATTATCAGAGCGAGATCATTGGGAAGTGTAATGTTCTCATTGTCTTGGAAACGCACAGTGCTAGTTAGTTAGTTAGTTAGTTGGGTTATCGTCATTGCACTCCGGACATGTCCATAGGTGCTCAGATCCTCCCCTCAGTATGAACGCACAGTGCTGTCGTAGTAATATGAGCTACGTAGTAATCACTTGACAAGATGCCTTGTATCCCCCCCCCCCTCCCCCCCACCCCGCCCTTTCCCCCTCCATATCTGCATTCTGTAGGATAAACACATGACCGTCTTAAGTTACATAAGATACTTAAGACAGCCATGACTGATATCTCTCCAATCATTACCACAATGTAAGTAGCTTTTTTTTTTTTTTTTTTTAAGAAAAAATAAAACACAATGACTTTCTTAGTAGCATTTGTAGAACCCGCATTTATTTCATTTACTTAAACATTATACAATCAAAACTACGAATTGTAGATTATTAAAATTCTTTAAAAATAGAATTAATTAATTTTTTTTGTAAAATTTACATTATATGTATATTTAGTGATCATAGTATACTTTTCTGTGTCATCGTCGTCGTCGACTTCTTCTTCTTCTTTTTCTTATTCTTCTTCTTCAACCCTCCTAGCCCTGAGTTTCACTGCCGCACATATCACCCATGTCCATTCATCATTGTGATTGGCAGTCTCACTCAAACTGGTCACTCCAATTTGTTTGTATTTCTGCTTAAATAGTATCTAGCCGCTAGACTTCTAAGTGTGCCTCATGGTCTACTCCTATTCACATCCTTTCTGTGCCCGCTCTCTCTCTCTCTCTCTCTCTCTCTCTCTCTCTCTCTCTCTCTCTCTCTCTCTGTGCTTGTGTGTGTGTGTGTGTGTGTGTGTTATCTGCCAGTGTGTCTGTATGCTCCAGCCCCTATGATGTCATTAATTAACAATGATATAAACAGGAAATTCGTTGTTACTTTTCATTTTCATTTTCATAAAAATCAAATAGAGGACGAAGCAAGACAATATCTAATTTTATAAGAAAGCGTCAGTGGAACAATACTGGCCCTGCACTCAGAATGGATTATATAAGACTCCCCCATCAAGCCCTGATATGGATACCGGAAGGGAAAAGAAAACGGGGATGACCAAGAGACCCTGCGTAGAACCATCTAAGACCTTAACCAGGGGGCAACCAACCGCCAGACATGCACCGCCTTAAACTCAGGAGGAAAAATTAACTAACTGATAATACTGTCTAGTTTTTTCCTTTGTTGCTTTCATGATCCCTGTTTTTCTTTCAATTCTCAGTTGTAATAAAACAACCATCCCCTTCTGCACTTGTAGTCTCTTGCTGTTGAGATCTGTAACATTAAACCAGTGGAAATTGATTTTAAATGTACATGTAAAATGGTCATAAGATGTCTGTAATATTGAAAACGAGCGATGTTATTATAAATGTGTGTGTGTGTAAAATGAATGACCAATTGATTTCTACTATTGGATATCGGATGGGGAAGGTAGTGGGATGAATGGGAGGAAAAGGGGAGGGGGTGTCATTCTAAATTTTTTTCTAAAATGAGGAATTAACTGATTGTTTCAAATCAGTTTACTTGTTTTCTCTCTTCTTTCGAAGCATTTCATCTAAGAAACAAGCACAGTGTGCCTACCAACTTATTCCAGACCTTTGGTAGATTAGTTCAATTTGAGAGCAAACGTTTTTTTTTTTTTTTTGTTTTTTTTTTGTTAATGATGTAGCCCGTGGGGCAGTGCTGGATTTATGGATAAGCTAAATAAGCTGCAGCCTAGGACCTCACAAAATGCATAGGTTGGTGTCATGTCACAGTGTTAGGTACGGATGCTCAGTGAGCGAGCATGTCGTATGTCGGCTAGTTAGATGTGTGGCGTAATTATATATATATATATATATATATATATATATATATATATATATATATATATATATATATATATATATATATTTGTATATATTTGTATTAAAGGCGATAAGGCAGTAATCTCCTGTTGTGGCATTGCCCCTGTGCCTCGCCTTAATTTAAAAAAAATTATTCTTTTGTGTGTGTGTGGGGGGGGGGGGGGGGTAGTAAAAGTCTCAAATTCGCCGTGTGTCTGACTCGTCAGGGATAGCCAGAGAAAGACTTGTACCATACACTGAATGGTTGAAGGTGTCCCAAAAAGAAATAAAATCGAGCGATTTAATGTGCAACAAGACAGTGAACGCCTTACAAAAGACATAGCCCGCTTTTAGAAGTCCTGAGAATAGCGTTTGACTTACTCTAAGAAATTTCAGTGAAAGACTCACGAAAACCAGTGACCAGCTAAAGAAGTACACCGAGTGACTTACCAAGGAACTTTGGTGAACGACTTACAAAGACACGTGACCAAGTTGTGAGGTACATTTTGCGACTTATGATGTCCCTCAACCCATAAATCCATCCTCTAACTAGTCGACACGACGACTTGATCATCTCACTGAACATCTGCATCTAACATTATGACATGACGCCAACCTATCTCATTCAGTTTTCATATTTTGGTATTTAAAAAAGTCATAGCACCATATACCACAGGGGCTCTAATACCTCACATCCAACTAGCCAACACATAACATGTCTGCTTACTGTGTATCCTTGGTTCTTTTGCTTTGCCCGCTCCACCACTCAGGGACACAAAGCCACCACCACCCCTGAGCCTTATCTGACTCCCGAATCACTTGACACGAGCCTCCACTAACCCACCAGGTTTTTAAAAATACCAAACCGGAAGTGCTGCACCGCTAGGTCGGGTGGGGCAAATCGTTTCTTGCTCTATTTCTTTGGTAGCTGTGCTTTAACAAAGGTTATATAGCGACCACGCCCTAGCAGTAATACTATGTTTTTGTAATTCCTTACGTCCTTTTCAGGACGTAATTTGTTTGTTATTTGAAGCCCCACTCTGGCTTTTGCAGGAGGCCGCAATATAGGCAGGCTATCAATATGGCCAATTGTCTGAACGCAGTTTCTGGGACCTCTCCACGGTGATCCTCATCCGCATGGTGGCACTTTGTGTCATCGGGTGTTTATCGCTTGTGTGATGTCCTGGTGGGGTAGAAAGTCAGTGAGTCAACAGTAATACGGATTAACTCCCTACTCATACCGTTTTTCTCACGCTGTGAAGACCACGAGCGTCTAACCGCTGCACCACGGCGCCTCCCATAACATGGCATAATGTGATGATAATAGTGTACCTGTTTGGCCTGTCATGGCGGCGAGGTGTCCAGTTTTCTACCACGGTGATCAGGAAAAGCGTCATTGCTGCAAACATGAAAGCGGCCATAATGTTACAGAATTTTGTGCTGCTTCTGGGTCGCCCATCAACCTAAAGAGTAAGTAAGTAAGTAAGTAAGTGTTACCCCACCAGGACATCGCACAAGCGATAAAAACCCGGTGACACAAAGTGCCACCATGCGGATGAGGATCACCAGTGGAGAGGTCCCAGAAACCCCGTTCAGCCGTTAGACCATATTTCACGCCTGGCTATATTCAGGACCTCCTGCAAACGCCAGGGAGGGGCTTCAAATAACGAAAAATTGCTACCTGCATGGGCACCACTCTAATTTAAGGTAAAGAGTAAAAAGTAAAGGTCCCTTTTCCACGCCTGTAGGCGTATTGGGAATAAAGGGCTAGATATATATTTTTAAGACAAATCGGCACTTGGTGGATGATGTGGTCAGCATCACGCCGGTCACCTTTACTTCCCATGACTGCACCTGGTACCCACTCAAGGCTGGGTCGACCTGGGAGTCAAGGTCATTAAAAAAAGTCCGGACGTGAACCCACGACCTTCCGATCGGCAGGCGAGCGTCTAGCCGAACCTAAAGACTACAAACTAAAATATAATCAGCAACTAATTTAGCTGGTTTCAGTCATTGCATCGTAGTGGCTAGAAGTAGCTAGAAGCTCGACTACTGACCTGGTGGTCTTTTAGGTTCGATTCCGCATCATTGCGAATTTTTTTTAATTTATATTTAAAAAAAAATATCTTTGCTTCCATCCAGGTCGACTCATTCTAAAATGGGTACCAATTAATGGCATGGGAAGTAAAGGCGGTCGGCGTGGTGTTGACCACACCATCTACAGAATGAATGTCCATTGGTCTACAATTGTGCCTGTATTTTGGACAGCCAATACAAGCCTCCCCCCTCCCCCTCCACGTTATACAACAGACTTACTTACTACCATCTGTCACTGCTGGATCTATTTACCATTTTTAGGCGGTTTAGACAGGGGTCGTGAACCTGAGGATTGTTGGACCGCATGGTTAGTGCTGTAGCCACGGACTGTGCAGGTTAGGATGTTTAATTTTTACCTGGACTTCTAATGATTTCCCCCTGGTCTCTGGATAGTAAGTTCGGAAGCCCGTGTGTATTGTTGCGCACGTAAAAAAAAATCCCTTGGCAGTTGGAAATCGAAAAGAGTAGCCTAACGGCCCTGTCAGGGCAAAATTTTGAATTAATAA